ATTTACTTTAATTACGGAAAATGCGTCATTACTTTATTGTAAGAATCATTATTATTAATTGAGAATATATAGACCATAAATATGGAGTGTAAGTTTACCCAATGCACCTATATGGTTGGTTGCGGGTTCCTTCACTACACACAAAAAAAAAATAAAAAAATGCATACCTTATTTCGTTTAGATTTACATTTTGTTAAAAAAAATCGTCCATTGATATATAGTATTTGTTGAAAAATAGAGTATTTTAATTGGCCGATTTAATTCCATATTTAGTTTAAGTTACTTACATGGCTATTTCGTTCATTCTAATTGATTGATTTTTTTCCATGTTGTCTAATTGGTTGATTTGTTATTTTATGTATTTTTTAAATTCAAATTCCTTCCTTTACAACATTCTTGCATTAATTATAATTTTTTTTTTCTATGTAATTTCCACTCGAACTATAAAATGGGCATCCGACGCCTTCACTTTCATCATTGTTAGTATCAGAATGACTATTAATATTAGCATCAATATAAGTAACATTAGTAGTGTAAGTATTAGTATAAAAATTAGTATCAGTATTAGTATTAGTATTGGTGTTAGTATCAATATTAATATGAGTATTAGCATCAATATATATTAGTATAAATATGTATCATTATTAAGATCAATATTAGTATAGGTATGAGTATCAGTACTGGTATCACAATCATAATCAAAATCAGTATCAATATCGGTATAGTATGAATATCAATATTAGTATTATTATATCAATATTAGTATATATCAAATTAGTATCAATATAAGTATGTGTATTAGTATTAATATCAAAAATTAGTATTAATATTACTAATGTTATGAAAATGAGTATGAGTATGAGTATGAGTGTGAGTATGATTATGAATATGAGTATGAGAATTAATACTAGTAGGGTAACATTAGTATTAACATTAACATTATTACTTGCATCTCCATTAGTATAATTATTAGGATTAGCATTAATATTAATATTTATTTGTATTAGTATTAGAGTATTAGAGGTAACATGTACAATTATTGTCGTAATTTCGAGAGATGAGATTAGAGGTGCCATGGACATTTTGTTTTTGTATAATTTATATGTTATAATTAAATTGCAATTTTATGTGCATCTGAACTTTATGCTAATCTTACTGTCGACTTCAGTGAAGTTTTATTATCAAGGTAATTTAACATAACTTATATTTATTTCTTACACTTTTAAGTGATTTACATCTTAGTAACATGTGTCGTGATCATATGAACAATTTAACAATATGCAAATTACTTGCTAGGTATTAATTAGATAAGTTACTTCAATGCATGTGTTTTGAAACTCCACTTTGATAACTAAGTTTTACATTAAGGACTTGAGTGTGTCGGTTGTGATAGTTGTAATATTTGTAATATTTGTATCTAATGATGTATCATAATTTTAATATCGCATGTAATATTTTTTATCAATTATTTTATTTTATTCAGTACTTAAATCAAATGGAATGAGATTTTTTTCTGTAAGAGAAATTGTTTTTTTTTTTTTTTTTTTTGTATTATGACATATTATATATATCGAATATTGAAGTTTATAGTAAATTATGTTGTCTAAAATATATTTTTATTTTCTAAATTATCACCGTGCATCGCACGGGTGAAATACTAGTTTGATTAAATGCCAAACTTTATAGGGCACATTCCAAATTAGCTCATCATGGGATATTTATTTATAAGGGATAATTTGACAGAACCCCCTCATTACACAAGGATTATTACATTAGCCCCAAATTTATTTTTCATTTTTAAGATAAATCCAAAGTAGCTTTTATTAATTAAAAACCCTTAATTATTACTATTATGCCCCTAACTAATTAATACACTTGTTTTTAATATCTGTTATTAGAGAAGATACATAATATCTTCTACATAAATATTTTAATGTGCACTTTCTCAATTAATTCCACCATTAACGCTTATTGATTGCACATTTTCGTTCATGTGGAATCGAAATTGTAACTCGCATAAATAATAATCTGTTTGTGTCATTGGATAAGCGGTGGTTGTGCAGATTCACATGGAGGTTTTCATCTCACATGAGAATTTAAAATGAGTTACATGTGAGGTTTTGTATTGATTTACGTTGAACAGTAATTTGTATGTGTATGTACACGTTTTGTTGATATATATAAGATTTGTATGTGTCTAGTGCATTGTACATGTTGCGTTGATGCTTAAGCAAATGTAAGAGTGGTTTTTGCACGCATAGTGGTTTTTGTACACATAGTGGTTTTCGCGCACATAGTGGTTTTCGCACACAGAGTGGTTTTCACGCGCAGAGTGGTTTCTACTATTCCCTTATTAAATCGATGGATTTTGACATTTCCATATTATTGAATCCACTATTGTGCATAGTGAATTTTGCTATTTCCACCGTAATATACGTCAATTTTTTTTATCGAAAAAGCTTGTGTGATGTTGAACCAATATATGTATATTGTTTGCCTAAAGAAAAGAAGTTTTTGTCCGAAAATAAAAGTAGATTTTCATACAGTAAACGTGAAGCCATTGATGCAGTATTTGGAGATCAAGAGAAAAATGATATAATGAATTTTCGAGATAGTGGGAAAGTTGGGGGCGAGATTTGTGGAGAGATGGAGAAATATTGGGAGGATTTTGGGGAGAGAAATATTAGGAGGATTTTTAGATAATGTAATTTTGGAAGGGATTTTGCATTTAATTCACAGTATTTTTTATTTAAAATAATTATACAAATTAGTGGGGGCATATAAGGTTTTTTAGGCCCAACGAATGTTAATTATCAATTATAAATTAAAGATTTATTAAGAAGTAAAATCTCAATGGAGGGTGTTTAACAAATAGCCCCTATTTATAAAGGGGTTCGGACAAAAAAATCTTTACGAAAAAATCTACACATTATCTAGAGTTTTGTAAAAGATTAAAATACTCCTTTACATATTAATGTGCTCCAATTTCATCATTAAATTCAATTTAACCTCAATTTGACCCCATATTTCACAAATTGTTCAATTTTGACCCAAAACTCAATTTTCAGTACAATTTCGCCACTCGCCGCCGTTGACTTTTTCTTTGTTTCTCTTGCTTTTTCTGCCGGTTTCCGACGTCGACTATTTCAATTTTTTATTTAATTTTTATTTTTTTTTCTTCAACATCTTTTTGCCCGTTTAAACAATAATATTGTTGTGGTTGACCGTCATATTAACTATATTAGTGTTTAACATATTAGTGTTTAACACAGTAATATTAACTATATTACTGTTTAACACAATAATAATGATATATTACTGTCTATCACAGTAAATATACTTATTATCATAACACAAAAAAAAAAAAAACATTAGAAATTATAAATAACGATGTTAATGTCTTACAAAAATCTACTTTATTTCAAGCATTGACCAATGGTACTTTTGTACCAGCTAATTATTCAATCAGAGGTAGGAATTACAATGTCCGTTATAATCTAATTGATGTTATTTATCCTAAATGGTCAAATTTAGTACAACCCGTTAATGTACCCAAATGCGGCCAAGAAAAATATTTCATGCAAAAACATAAATCATATCGCAAAGATGTAGAACGGGGATCGGAGTTTTTCAAGCTCGGTTTGCAATTATTAGAGGAAAAACTCGATTTTGGAAGAAAAAAGACTTGCATGAAGTCATGTTTGCATCCATAATTTTGCACAATATGATAGTTGAGGAAGAACGCAATGGATATAGAAACGACTTATATTTTTTTATGATGATCAATCTCCCACAAACTTTGGCTAAGAAAGTTCGTCCTCTATCCCGCCTGTTGAGCTTTTGAGAGATTATATTAATGTGGCAATGAATTAAGGAGACTGGTTGCACGCTTGTGGGATACACGTGTTCAAATCGATGATGTTGACGATTATGATGGTGATGATGATGATAATAATGGTGAATGAGATATTTTTTTATGATTTTAAATTTGTTTATATTGAAATATTTTTTTTATGAGATTATTGTTTATGTATGATGTAATTATATGTAAAATAATTTGAGTTCGGGTTATTTCATGTTTAGATAGTTTTTGAAAATTGGTAACATAATTGTTAAATTATATAGTTAAAAAAATTTATTACTTAAAATTGAATCTATAATTAATATATGAAATAAAATATACTAAAATTCTGATAAATATTAGATTTACAGTTTTGGGGAATATATGGTTGAACATAATGGGAGACCAAACCAAATCCCATTTCATATAAGTGGTAACAAAGTGAAATATTATTATTCTAATATTTTGTCAAAATTGAAATCCATGGAATACCAAAAAACACCATTTTCCACCAAAAACGGTGGAAGGTAAAATAGTACACTACAGGTGTGGGATGAACCCATTTTCACCACAAAAAATGGGATTTAGTGAAAAATTAGTGAAACCGGATGGAGCATCTCTCACCCCTAACACCATTTTTCACCAAATCCTATTTTTTTGTTGTGAAAAACGATGTTATCTCCCACCCGTAGCACACCATTGTATAATTGTTCTGTGACAAAATAGTGTATTTGGTCTCCCACCAATTCTATCAAATTTTCCAAATAATAAAATATTAATAATTTCACCATTTTACCAGTTATAGAGAATATGATTTGGTTTGGTCACCCATGGATGGCATTTCACCAAATATATCACAAAATTATAAATTTAAAATTAATTTTCATTTTAGTCAAAAAAAAAATTCCAAAATATTAATATGGATTTGACCTTAAGCAATGATTTTATTAACTATATAATTTAAAAATAATGATAAATATCAAAAATTAATTGAAACATGAATGAAAATCAACTTAAATTATTATATAGATGATAAAATCACACATAAACAATATTTTCATAAATTATTGCCTAAATATATGATTAGGTGATGGGTGAGAGTTGGGAGATGCTGTGATATTAGCTTTATCGCTTTATCTTCTCTATTATTATTGTTCGGATTTATTTATCGCGTAAATTACAATTTCGCCCTCTCCCAAACAAAGACTTTTTTAGGAGCTAAAAGATCTCTTCTCTAATTTCAGACGAACACACTCAGAAAAATCTCCCTCTGAAAGGTACGATCTGTACGCATATGAGTATATATTTCATGAATTATATGATTTTTATTATTGCGCGGATCTCATCATTTTTATGCTTCATTGTGTTTAGGAATTAGGAATCATTTTGTTGCCTGAATAAATGAATGTAAGGGTTAAAATATTGTTTATCAATGTGATCGTTCTTTCATGGGTTGTCTGAATTTATGAAATTCAAGGTTTGAAAGATTGTTTCCGATGTTGTTTTTGGGGGAAATAAAATTAAATGTTGAAAGAAGCCGGATATTGAAAAATGCAATTTTTCCTTTTGTTAATGTTTGACTGTGCAGTAATTGATTCAGGATTTTTAATTTGCTTGTATATAACATGTTGAATTCTTATTCCTCTGGATTTCTTGATTTTTTGGATTACGATTTATACATTTAGGCCTCGTTTGGTTGGGGAGATTAGCCATGATTAACTAAATAATAGGACTTTGTTTGAAGTTTGGTATCCCTAATAACTTGTCGGGTCGACCCGCAAATATTATGTTATCATGGCTTATCTTGCCTTCTAGACATGTTTTTCTATTGGATCATTGAAGGTCCAATAATATAATCGGGTTGCATTAGATTATTTAATCTTATCTTGGCAACCAAACGAGACCTTAGGCCCCGTTTGGTTGCCAAGATAAGCTAAGATTAACTAAATAGTTGGAGTTAATATGATGTTTGGTATCCCCAATAAATTGTCGTGTCGACCCGCCAAAATTATATAATCATAGTTTATCTTGCCTTCTAGTGAGTTTTTTTGTTGGACGTGGTGAGCTTCAATAAAATAATTGGGTTTCATTAGATTATTTAATGTTATCTTGGCTAATCTTATCTTGCCAACCAAACGGGGCCTTAGATTCCTTAGCATTGGAATTTGGAAATGAATCGGTTATTTGGTTAATGGTTCTTTCTATTCATATTCCTATTCCTATTTTCGTGCAACCGTTTTTGCGTTAAGATGTTAATGGCATCCCTGTAATTTGTCTCAACTATTGATTATTGTGATTAGTTACATGTAGTTAGCGTTTTCTCATATCGATTGTGATGCGATTGTCTTGATAGTAAATAGAAGTTAAATAAAAAAAATTGTAAGTGTCCAAGGCATTTTGCATTGATGTTGTCTGTTAAAAAGTTAACCTTTCATTTACACACACCTACGTGTGTGTGTGTGTGTGTGTGTGTGTGTGTTACTCTTTATATGTATCACCTTTGGGGGTGCTTTGAAACAACTTAGAAGCCAAAGTATGTGTACCTACTCATGTTGTTTCTTCAACTACAAGATTTCTGATAATATTTCTGTCCGTGGGATATATATATATATCTGCCGTATTTGTATTGACCGATTAATTGATCGGTTATTTTATCGCATTCGTGTCTCGATTTTTAATTTAGCTATATAGATATCTGAGGCTGTCTGATAAATTATGCAGGTTATTTTGACGCAACCATGGCTTCCTTCAGAACATTTTTGAACAGTCCCGTTGGTCCCAAAACAACTCACTTTTGGGGTCCGGTAGCTAACTGGGGATTCGTTATTGCTGTATGCTTCTCGACAAATACATACATACATACATACATACATACATACATATATATATATATATATATGAAGTATTTTAATGGTGAAAATTTTGTGTACTAAAATATAAGTTAAAATGGTGTTACAGGGATTGGTTGACATGCAGAAACCTCCAGAATTGATCTCCGGAAATATGACTGCAGGTTTAAATTTTAACTTTTGGAGCTGATTTTTTTATTTTTTATTTTTTATTTTTTATTTTTTATTTTTTTCTCATTAACTATTTGTGTCTATGTTTTAACTAATGCAGCAATGTGCGTGTATTCGGCGTTGTTCATGAGGTTTGCGTGGATGGTTCAGCCTCGAAACTATTTGCTGCTTGCGTGCCATGCTTCAAATGAGACGGTGCAACTCTATCAGTTCTCTCGTTGGGCCAAAGGTCAAGGGTGAGTTTCGACGCGATATGATTTAAGACCTATTAATTATTCACTTCTTAATCTTGATCACGTTATAATCATATCAATCTCTCCCTCTCTCACACACACGCAAACACGTGCGCGCGCACGCACTCAAATTACCAAGTGTGGAAAAGATCATTTATATAATATTACTTTCTTCGTCTAACTGATTTTAGTTTTTGTGCGTAACTTCACAATAATTCTTTTTCAAGTCAATGTAGACTACATCCAGTGGCTGAGCCAACATAGGGCCACCTGGGGCCATGACCCCCCACCGCTACTAAAACAACTAGTAGTTCTAAACACGATCCCGACACGGACTTCCATTTATATATCCACATGTTTATTTCAAATTCTTTTGTAGGAACTAAATTGATGTGTTCCTTTTGTTTTCATCCTCCTAAAATTTGGTTATGCAAGATTCAATCATCTTTGCAGTTGTGCAACTAATATTCTTTGTATCTCGTCTTAGGTACTTGACGGAAAAGAAAGACGAGGCCTCGTCTCAGTGAACTTCTTTTTTTCTTATTTAAAAGAACAAGGTCTCCAGAGGCCTAGACCTCAACAGGACCCACCAGCCGAAGAAGTAGATAACTGTCGAGGCTTGCAAAAACTTGATTTGTGGGTACATGTGATTATTTTCTTAGGTCGTTATACTTTGTATTTGAGGTACTATCAAAGTCTAAAGACAAGTTTAATTTGGTTAGATCATGGTTCATTGTTGTACCTCTATTCTGCAGTGAACTGATTTATTTTGTTAGTATTGGAATAGGGATGGCCATGGGGCGGGTTTTGCATTCCCCGCCCCCGCCCCGTTAAGAAACCCGTTGCACCTGCCCCCGCCCCGCCCCGTAACGGGTCTAAAATTTACCAACCTGCAACCGCCCCGCCAAAAAACCCGTAAAAGTTGAAGAAAAAGGTATAAAAAAAAAAAAAAAAAAAAAAAAGAACAAACTATCAGTACATAATTCATTAATTAAAAAAACCAGTCTTCGACCAAATATCAAATTCAAATTAGCTAAGAGATAATACTAAATCAACTATCCGATAGGCGATAATATTACATCCAACAATTCAACATACTATAAATAAAAAATATTACCAACAATGCATCCAACAATTCAACATACTATATATATAATATAATATAATATAATATAATATAATATAATATAATATAATATAATATAATATAATATAATATAATATAATATAATATAATATAATATAATATAATATAATATAATATAATATAATATAATATAATATAATATAATATATTATAATTTTTTTTCTTTTCTAAATTGAGAATTTAAAATTGAACTCATACATAATTAAATAAAAATTACATAAATGTAAGAATACATAGATATCAAATACACAATGTCAACTACTAAAAAAAGGAGCATCAATGATGTCCGAGATGTCCACCGGTCCTACATCTAGGCGGACGCCTGTTTCTACGCACTCTACCCACTGGTTCTTGCGCAATATCCTTTTCAATAGCGTCGGCAACATAATTCTCGGTAGAATGACTTTGAGGTGATTGGAGGTGATAGGGAACGGGAGAAACATTGAAATGACTATGTGTAGGCTGGTCACCTTGGTAATATCCTAAATTGAGATCCAAAAATTCACACCCTGAATACATGTTCATAGCAGGCTGGTATAGAGTTACTGGTGTCGGAATATAAACATCATTAGTAGAACTTGGATAAGTACCGGGCTCATTTCGAAGTGTGGATGGGCCGGCCTCATCTCGATATGAGGAAGGACCGGCATAATCTCGGTACGTGGAAGGACCGACCACATCTTCATCTTGGGAGGTGAAATCATTCCTTTCTCTTGTAGACATTTGAGTGCGGTTGTGAGTTCTCATTCTTCCTCCATCCGAGGCACCCGTAGAAGGAATCTCGGTCCTGTTGAGCATATTGATCATAGGCTGCATTTCTGGCATATTGGTGTTCATTGAGGCTAGTCAAGTAGCCTGAAATAAATTATAAAATAAGTTATAGAAATCGAGTAGTTGTATGTAATTGCATTATTGACATAAAATTACATACCACCAAATTCATAATTGTTCGATCTTCAGTCTGAAAACCAATGCTCATCAAATCGTCAATCGGTGATATAAACGACGAGTGTGCTCATCATACCATGCTTCATAACCATCCTCTGTATCTTGTCCATTGATTGGTTGAAATGGGACGACAGTCTGAAATCTTTGTTACCATTTAACAACATATGTACTCAAATACTCGCTCCAATCCAGACCCGATCGACCTTGACGAGTCAAATCATGTAATTTGTTGAAAATAACAACATCTGTAGGATGTGACGGAATTGGTTGGACCATCCCGAACTGTCGTAATACTCTCTCCGGACGATGCATCTCCACTCGTGAATAACAAATAAGTGGACAACTAGACATCCAAAGTAATGGTGAAATAATCGTCGAATCCGAAGCCGATTCTTGGTACTCAACATCAGTGGTGTTACCAAATGAACTATAAAAAAATATTAGGACATTTGCGAATATTATCAACATCATTATCAACAACATTATCAACAATATGGAAAAAAAATATTATCAACATTATTAGCAAGTTCACGAACCTGGTTTGGCAACATTTGATCAAGCATTGTTCTATATATGCGAACTGAATGACTAGCGGTGTGAACATAACTCAAATGATGCAACCAACTGCAATGTGTTATGCAAAATACGTATATTAAAACAATGCATATATACAGTTCCAAAACCTAAAAAATACCTGTAATCTATACCTGAAATTAGTATATGATTAGATGTTAAACAATCCTTTTGTTCTTCGGACACAACTCGATCCTCTCGTTCAATTGCAATCTAAGAAAAAAAATAGTACAAGTTGAAAAAAAATTCACACAACAAAATTTGAAAACACACACTACTCAATTATATGTTATTTTAGCAATCATGCTCCAACTAAAAAACAAGTTGAAAACTAACTAATTTTATAAAAATGGAACTAGAATGTAAAATTACCTAAAATTATCTACAAATATTTCATTAAAATTAAATAAATAGAAACAATTTTATTTATTTAATATATATATATATATATATATATATATATATATATATATATATATATATATATATATATATATATATATATATATATATATATATATATATATATATATATATATATATATAAATATAAATATATCAATAAATTACTCATATACATATATACATATATAAATAAAAAAATAAATAAATATATATATATTTATATAAATTAAATAATATATTTACATTTATAATATTAAAATATATTTATTTATATATATTCGCGCACACTTTCGCATATACGTGTTCACAGTGAGACTATGAAAGTATATATGTATGAATA